AATCAAGAGTAAGTTTGATTTTATAAAATAAAATAAATCTATTTATTCTTCTATTATAGATTGATTCACATTAAACCTGTTTGTAATCGTCCATCCAGTCATTCATTTAGTTTAAAATCGAACCTACTGATGACTATGAGATTTGAATCAATCTAGAGTATATTATAGATTGATTCAAACGCCATAGTCATCAGTTGGTTCAAGTTTAAACTAAATGAATGACTGGCTGGGCGATTAAAAACAGGTTTACTGCGAATCATTATGTACGAAACCTTTTGTTTTAATTTGTAGTAAATGTTTAGCAGAAAACTATCTGTACGGAACCTTGTCCGCAGAAGCTTATTTTTAGTTTGGTAAAAAGGTTTAGTACGAAACCTTTTGTACGAAACCTTTATTTTAGTTATTCATAAATGATTTTGTGCGAAACCTCTGTTACGAAACCTTTATTCCAGCTTTCCAAAGATGGTTTGTTACGAAACCTCGTTTTTTACGAAACCAAAAAAGGATCTTACCGTGTACCGAGGATAAGATCCTTTTTAGGTTTGGTAAAAAACCTTTTTTTTTAGAGTGTACATGAGTGCTCAGGACGATGAGCTGCGTAAACATCCCAGGCGTGAGCATCCCATTGACCACCCGGAATAATCATCATGGCCGTATGATAGTCTTGTCGTGCTTTTTCCAAATTTTCTCGCGCTTTTTTACGTTCGGCTGCCAGATTGTTCATGACGCTATCAACATAGGTCTGATTTCTCCTCATTTCTTCCGCTTCTTCATGTAATTTTTCAGCCATATCTTTATTCTCTGTATCTGTCAATGTACTGACTTGGAATATTTCTTGAAGAAGATCTTCAAGAGTTTCGAATCGACGGAGTGATGCTCTAGCAATGGTGGCACTGTCATTAGCATATTGACCAATATTCGACAAGGTTCGAGGTAACATCGCTTTGATCATCGAAGATCCAGCCTGAGTAGTGAGCTTCAAAGCTGTTTTCAAGAGAGCTGGAATTTCGCGCATTTTAGCTTGAATTTCAGCCATACTTGTGTGAGCTCCGTACAACGCCTTGTGCATATCATTGATTACTTGCACGAGAGTAGCACGAAATGAGCTCGAGTATTTCATAAGAGTATAGCTAAAATTAGATGTAAATGAAAAATCGTTTTTGCTAGCGATAGCCATCACCGAGCTCATGTAATTGATACTGAGAGGTCCTCCAACCATCATATCCTCCCATTCGGCGTCAATATCCGACAAGTATTGAATTTGCTCGTCAATACTTCCGTCAAACAGATTGCCAAAGCCGCCGGCACGACTTAGAGACCCTAAACAAAATGATTAGACGTTTTGTAGAAATACAACAATGAAATTAATGACTTGACGCCAAACTTCGTCATTGACGTATCCAATTTCAGAGAAATTCGTGTTGTTTTTTTGTATCGATTTTCTCGTCGAGACATTTTGTCACCTCAAAATCTTCTGCTTCGAAACGATAAACGAACGGAAAAATTTTCAGAGTGATTATCAGAAACAAAATCTTTTAGAAAAACGTTCACCAAATGCAGGAAAAGCTTCGCCTGTCAACAACATTTGGTATCTCATATTCATCGATTTTGCTGGGAAATTTTTCGTTTAACAAATTCTCAAATTGATGAGTTTTCCTTGATAATGAATAGAATCAGAACGATATGTGAAATTGCATTCGATTCGATGATCATTCTATGTCTGCCTAGATCATCATTTTTATCTGGAGTTGAATCAAAATTTTGAGCAAGTTGTACAAGAAATTCAGTATCGGTCAACTTGGGCAACTGTTTCAGTTCGTCCATGCTCATTCGGGTGATCGTCTCGAGGTAAACATCACGGAATGGATCGAATACTCGAGGCAGAAAACTGAGTGAGCAATCGAAGGTTCCACCAATGCTCCATGTGCCGATCTCGCGACAACGGACAGTAGAAACGTGAATATTAAGCCTTGAACTTGAAAATCAAAGCACGAAACTCATAAGAAAAAACTTACTATTAGCCATTTTAGCGAAGGAAGGACGTGACATGCTTTGCAATAATCGTAGCTTTACTATTTATCCCAGCAAGACAGATTAATATTTGCACAGCAGGTTTCATTGTTGTATTTCTCTCATCACTTCTTCCAACACAACAGCATTCTTATCAGTGACCGATCCAAGTTTTCGCGGAACTTAGGGGTGGAGTATTTACTTTACTCTTTGAAAAAGTAAATAAGTAAAGTAAATATTTTATTTACTGTTTACTAAAGTAAAGTAAATAAAATATTTACTATTTACTTTACTTTAGTAAATCAAGTATTTACTATTTACTGTAGTACAGTAAATCAAGTATTTACTATTTACTGAAGTACAGTAAATATATTTACTAGTAAATAAAAGTTCCGTCAACTGAAGGGAGGGTCATATAAAAATAGTTTGTTTGCTTGTCGTTGAGTCAAAGCTCAAAAAAAACATCGCCTTAAAGAAGTTTTTGATATAGCGCTTTCCACCAATTAGATTTTTTTCATTTTTTTGGGTCAAGGGAAGAGTTTTTCCAGAAAATAAGGATATTTTATAAAGGTTGACGGAAGTAAATCGATGTCGGAGAATACGAATCTGAAGTCAGCTTTTCGAAAACTCACATAATTATTTGTATGAAAAATTCATACTTTTCTCTCTGAATTATTGTCTAAGGAAAAGCCAGCTCTTTTGAGAAAAAGTCATTTGCAAAAAGGAAACTAGAAGGTGTGAATGTGGATGTGAGTGTGGGTGTGGGCGTAGATGTGAGTATGGGTGAGTGTGGACGTAGGTGTGGCTTTGGGTGTGGGTGTGGATGTAAAGGGATTTTGTGCCCGCACTCACACTCACACCCACACCCTAAATTCTTCCAGTAATGTTTTCCATTTGATAAATTATTCAGATATTGTGTCCAAACACAAAAACCGTTTCTTATCCTTGACTTGGCATAGTTTTTGTAGCTTTTTACATCTGATCTTCCTTATTCAGACCCATTAGACCTCGACTAGTGTCGTACATTCAATGAATCCTAACACTTTGAAGCTGCACATCTGGAGATAAACCAATGCAGCAGCTGCCACCTGTGATCTTATTCGCCCGTGAGATAATTCCTTTCACTTAAACTCTATCAGATGCCAGGTTGCTCTTACTCAGAAAAACTATTAGATTTATACCGCGATGGCTCCAGATGAGTTGCTCCGAACGAACACTTCCCTATTATTTATTCCTAATTTCTTCAACCTCATTGTTTAGCCAATACGTTAGAGCTTTATTACGGCTCCTGATTTAGAACATCGTAGTTGGCTATTCTTGATAAATGTAGGTTTCACGTAGATTTTTTGTTACACAACATTAGAATACGTTTGCAATATTAGCGGCCAGTCCTTCACTAGCACCTCTCTCAGGCACTGCTCAAAGCCACCTGCTACATTATTTGAATACATTAAAATAATCATTGGTTATTCTGCATTTACCCTACAGCCTGTAACTTCACTTACAAAATTCATTTTATGCTAGTTCTTTCGACTTAAGTGGGGTGTGCAAAAAAAGCTATTTAACTCAGAAATCACTGTCAATAAAGAAGAATCGCTGAATATCGTGCACCGCAGACTCAGTGACATTGATGTGTAAACACTGTCTCATCACACTACGGCTTACTGAAGCACCCGCCCCATCAGGTGACACTCCGGCCCACGTCTACAACGATACTTTGAAGAGGGTACCAAAATTAAAAAGCAGTCACAGGTCCCAAATACCCAGAAGAATTTCCCATATTTCGAGTTTCCCTTTTTTCAAATGACTTTTTCAAAAGAATTCGCTTTTTCCTTAGACAATAATTAAGAGAGAAAAGTATGATTTTTTCATACAAATAACTATTTGAGTTTTTGAGAAATTGACTTCAGATTTGGATTCTCCGACCTCGATTTACTTTCGTTAATCTTTACAAGTAACGCTCGTCTGCCGACTCGCTCAGCTCTTTCTCGTAGAAATGCTGTTTCTGAACTCTCAGCAAATTATTTATCTGCACCATTTCAAAAAGTGAAATAAGCACATTTTCGCTGTTTTTCTGTCAAGTTCATCTCGACATTTGAGTTCAGCTTTCTGAACAGTGGAAGGTCTGACTTGTGAGACCTAATTAACAAATAATTAATAGAAATTGACCTCGATTTCAGATTGCCCACCCTCAATTACCTTTGATCAAGCTTTGTGGAAATTATGGATTATTATTAACTAGTTAATAATTGATTAATAAAAACTAACCTCGAATTCAGATTCCCACTTCAGTTACCTTTAGTCAAGTTTTTAGAAAATGTTAATAATTAATAATCAGTTAATAATTAACCAATAACTAATAGCCAATTAAT